TTAATCACTCAATGAGAAGAAAATGTAAGTAAAAATCAGAAATTTAAAATAGACGATAATAATGGACAGTTTAAAGATAAAGAATTAATGTTAGTAGAAAATTATGTAACAACTACAGATAAAGGAGGTAACGCAGCAGGTAAATTTAATTGGGTCGTAGATACTGCAGCTACAACTCATTTCTGTAATAATAGAAATTTAATGACAAATTTTGAAGAAATAAACGATATACGTATGTCTTTAGCTGTAGGAAATTCTGAAAGTAAAGTACAAGGAAAGGGTACCGTCAAATTTGCAGTAAAAGTAGGCAATCGAATAAATTGGATTGAGTTAGATAATGTGTTATATAATCCAAATCTAAAAGAAATTTACTATCGGGAGCAAGGTTAGAAAAGGCAGGTGTTCATTTTGTGATTTCAAAAGGGAAGATGTGGATATATTTTAATAATTGGGATAGATTATGCTACGCTAAACGATATGACGGACTTTATCACGTAAAACCATTTAGATATGCAACAGATAAAAAGGAAGCTGGTTACGGTACAGAAATTGGAAAGTTAAATAAAGTAGACAATACGATGCTATGGCATCGGAGATTTAGCCACGTAAATTTTGATTATGTTAAGAATACTAGTAAGAATCAAAGCGTGAAAGGGTTACCAGAATTTGAAAAACCAATGGAGAGGTGTGAACCGTGTATTATTGCTAAATCTAGTAGAATAACTTTTAAAACTGTTCCGAAGAGATCAAATAAACTATTGCAGTCGGTTTATTTAGACGTTTGTGGTCCACTCCCAGTTCCATCTAACGGTGGGAGTAAATATTTCCTCACTATTGTGGATGACTGTAGTAGATTAGTAACAGTGTATTGTATGAAAAAAAAAATTAATCATTCTACAACTTTAAGAATTATCATAGGCAAATGGAAAGACTGACGAATAGGAAAATTAATAAGTATACGCACCGATAACGGTGAGGAATTCTGCAACAGGCAATTCGAAGGGTACTTAGCCGAAAATGGAATTAGTGTTGAACGCACAAACGCGTACAGCCCAGAAGAGAACAGTGTGTGTGAACATTTTAACCGAACGGCATTAGACCGCAGTTAAAGCTATGCTTAATGATGGTAAAATGGGAAAAGAATGGTGGGCAGAAGCTCTTGGCTGTTTCGTACATACATGGAACAGAGTATGTCATAAAAGCAACCGAACCCCTTATGAAATGTTTCTAAATAGAAAACCCAATGTTGTTTATTTTAAAATATTTGGTTTGTAAAGCCTATGTTGGCATGCCAAAACAGATTAGAAATAAATTACAAATGAGGTGCAAAGAAGAAATCATGGTAGGATATGCGAAGGAAACTAGGGGTTATAGGATATGGCTACCAGAAGAAAGAAGAACGCAGATTAATAGAAACCTGTAATGTGTTCGTTAAAAAACTGAATGCAGCAAATGGCATCCTGGAACAGAAATCAAAAACTAAGTTTAAAAGACTAGAGGAACCTGAGCTATTAGCAGAATCAGATGAAGAACAGGAAACTTCTAGAGAAGAAATAAAGTTCTCAGATGACAAATTTACCCCGAAAGAAGAATCAGACTTAAACTGGCAAAGAAAAGCAGTTAAAAGGCCAGACGGAAGATGTACAGACATATATTATTATGTAGAGGGAACAGACACCCGTTTTAGATCCTATAATGATATTGAAATGTATTGTGAGGCAAGAAATATTAAATTTGAAAAAGATAAGTTTGATTTTAGTGGAAAAAACGAATACTCGGGGAAAGTTAATTTTGTAGAAAAGGAGACTAGCTCCGTGTCTGAAGAGGCAAATTCCGTAGAAATTGTTATAGCACAAAATTTTAAAGAAGCACGAAAATCAGTAAATGCCGAAGAATGGGATAAGGCAATGAAAGAAGAAATTGACACTGAAATGAAGAAAAGAAAGGTTTGGGAATTAGTCGAAAAGCCAGAAAATAAAACTATGCTAGGAAACAAATGGGTCTATATGCTAAAAAGAAATGAAAAGAATCAAGTGGTTAGATACAAAGCACGTTTAGTAGCACAGGGATTCAGGCAGAAAAGAGGTGAAGATTTTCATGACGTTTACAGTCCTGTAGTAAATTTTTCAATCATAAGAATATTTTTCACTATACTGGTATGTTTATATATGGATGGACTAATTGTCAGTTAGATGTAAAGAATGCATATTTATATGCAAACCTAAATGAAAAATATATATGACCCAACCAGAGGGATTTATTGAAGAGGAAAATAAAGTGTGTTTATTACACAAGGCCATTTACGGTCTACATCAAAGCGGCCATGAATGGTTTTGTGAATTTGAAAGCATTTTAGAAAATCTACATTTTAAAAAAATACAATGGTGTAATTGTGTTTATAAAAGTTCAGATGTAACTCTCTTGTTATATGTAGATGATATTGTGATTTTTTAGTAAAGATCAATATGGTATATAAAGTAATTTCACAGCTGAGTAAGTTTTTTGATCTTAAAGTATTAGGCAAAACTGAAACGTTACTTAGAATTGAATTCTTAGAGAATGAGAATGGGGTTTTTTATATATCAGCAAAAATATATAGAAGAAACTTTTGAAAAATTTAAACATTTTCAGATACCAATAACTTCACTTCCCATAGATAAAGGCATTATTCTTACCAAAATTAGATTGTCCATCTACAAGTGCAGAAATTGCGGAAATGCATACATTACCCTTTAGAAATCTGTTGGGATGTTTAGTTCTTGTAGCTAACAGGACAAGGCCTGATATTACATATGCAGTGAATATCTTATCACAGTTTCAGGAGAATCCTGGAATTAGGCATTGGGAAGCATTGTTGAAATTGCTTGGTTATCTCAATAGTACTAAATTATATAAATTAAACTTATCGAAGATTAAACATCTAAATTTATATTGTTATTCAGATGCTGATTATGCAAGTAATAGGAATGACAACTTGTCCATGGGATGATTTATATTATATTTAGATGAAGTACTGGTAATCTGGAAAACTGTTAAACAAAAAAGTGTAAGTTTATCAACCATGGAAGCGGGGTATATCGCCTTATCTAAAGCAGCGAAGGAAGGAATTAATGTGGACAAAAAATGTCTTACAAGATGAAATTTTAAAGTTTAATTTAAGAGAGAATGTAAACTATTTTGTGATAACAAGTCTGCCATTGATTTTTCTAGATCGCCAATAGAAAATCGCCGAACTAAGCACAGAGACATAAAATATCACTTTATTAGAAGACTAGTAAATGATGGAGTGTTTGACCTTGAATTTATCACTAGTAAATTAAATACTGCGGACTTATTTACAAAAGCAGCGACTGCTGTTAATTTAAGGAAGTTCTGTTTAGATGTTTGCAGTGTTTAAAGACAATAAGTGTTTTCGTATAATAGAATTGAACTATGAACTTCAGTAATTCTGTGCAAGTTTTGTTTTTGTATTTGCATGAGGAAAACAGGGCCGTTTGTTGGCTTTAATTTTTCCTTATGCAAATTTTGATCGGAGGTCAATCGGCGGTAAGCTAAGTATGGTTGCTGCTGATTGGCCGATGACGTCAAGATCTGCGGGTTGGCCGAGTATTATATGTACGTCGGTATCGGCGAATGTGTGTTTTTATGAGTTAGCATAATGCTAGTTTTCTTTCACTCAAATGATTTTAAATGTAAAGGCTACAGTGTTAGCTTACTTTATTTTAATTTTCAGAATAAAGCATGAATTTTATTTAGATTAGTCTTAGCTTTATTTAAGGAAAGCAAAATATGCTTTGCCTTTATCGCCACTGCCAACATCTGATACCAATAATTGTTGGTATTTTCCAATAATGGCACAGAAGAAACTCTAAAACTTGTGTGTATGGATAATGGAATAACATTTCTTACATAATGCGGTAATGCACAAATATCCTATAACCAGTCAGTGAGCCAATAATCATAAATACTAAAATCAGTTCAATCAATTTTTTAAATAAAAAGCAAAATTAAATTGTATTTTAACATTTAACACACATAAATATTCTAAACACAAGATTTATACATATTACAACACATTTTTTAAAAAATAAAATGACATCATTGATTACATCATCCACAGCATAAAATTATTTAAAATATCATATATAACAAAATCAATATTTCAAATAAAAATGCAAAATTAAATTGATTTTGAATATTTAACAGCCATAAATAATATTTAATACATATTAAAATGCATTATTTAAAAAATTAAATGATGTTAAATGCTATAGCACTCAAACTGTGGGTTAAAAAAAATCATTGGTCCAGCAATGGGTTGCCATAAATCGTACTGTTCATCATTTAATGCCAAATGCGATTTTTTTGGGGGGGGGAGGGTAAAAATCCATGCACCCGCCTACCAAAGTAGCACCAAATTATCTTCACATTTTTACATTATTGAAAGAGAGGAAGAATCAAAACTCCAGATTTAAATTGGCACCAAAGTCTCCAGAACTGGGACCTTTATGCTTAAATTAAAAGTTTTAACATATTTGTATTCTTCATTTATTTTAATTTTATTTCCTATAATATTTTACTTCTTTTGAGAAAACAAAAGTTGACTTCTAATGCTAGTATTGTTTTAAAATGCTATGATAAAATAATATATTAAACAAAAGAAAACTTTTATTAACTAGTGTAAAATAAATATGAAAATAAATGATTATATTTCATATTTATAAAGGCTTGTTATAGCTTTAAGTAGGAAAAAACAAATGAAACATTCTTAAGCACAAAAACTTCGATTTCAAAATAAATATTTTAGTAATGCAAATTATTATCTTTTTACATTAAGAAGCTTTATTTTGCATCAATAAATAAACTACGTGCTTTTCTAAAACAATGCTTTCTGTCATTTCCTGTTACTGTTTTGAAGCAAAACATACATTTAAGTTTCTTCAAAATCATTCTAATAAATAAATTATACATCAAACTAAAAAAGAATATAAAGAACTCACCCTGTGGTATTCAGGATCATCAGGTTCAAACTGAATACAAGCAGAATCCAAAACAAAAATATACGATTCTTCATCAAGAAGTCGCTATACATGAGAGATTAGAATTATATAACTACAGTTATACACTATAGTGAAGAATATATTAAGTTCCTAAAAATTTATTAACAAATTCCTAAAAATAATTTTAATACATTAAAGATTACTAGATTTATCCAAATACATGACATAAAAATTATATTATAAGCAAATTAAAAAAAATTAAATAACTTAGTATTGATATAGTATGTGATCTACTGTTGCTTTTAATTATTTATTTATTTCTTAGATGACAAAACTAAAAAACTGTTTTTAAATATGAAAATAAATACAAATAATTAAGATACCTAAATGAAAATGATTCCATTAATTAATTTAATAACATATTAAATTTTTAATTCCATTCAAGTTAAACTGCTTTCAAGCAAAAGCAGGAGTGACCTTAAGAGTCCTGTTTTTCATGCAGCATCAGAAAAAAATAGCCACCATTTTTATTAATAAGATTTCCATCATGCTTTTGGAAGAAAATATGGAAGCATTTGTGGTGCAGTAATCCCCAAGTTGTACAGAATCTTTAGCTTCAAAATTCCCCAGTACGATTCATTTGTTTGAGTATTATATCAGCTGCAGGATCAACAAAGTTCTTTTGGTAGTTTACAGTTTGATATGATCACAAAAGGGGCACATTGCATACTACACTAATATCAATAATTATAAATTGAATCATATTGTAATAAAATATGCAGTAGTTTAAACAGTAAATACAATCATAATTAAAATAAAAATTTTACTGTTTATAAATATTATACACAATTAATATAATGTATTTGTTTCAGCAGATTTGTTGCTGGGGATTATTTTGTATTGTACTGTATATGAATGCCTAATATGAAGCTTAATGAACTGTGCAAATTTTACATTCACAAGTCACAAACTGAACACAGTTCAGGAAATTTAAAGAAACTTATCAACTATATTATTAACAAAATGCAGTTCCGGGTGGGGGGGAATGGAAAAATTGTAAAAATATTCAGGAAATATATATACTTTTTCTTAAAATCATACAGCAATAAATTTTCTCATTCTTCATATTAAATTTCTATCGATAAATTATCAATTGCAAATCATTTACCAGCATTATCTATTTCAGAAAACTGCACTCACTTTGCTTCCTAGCTTTCAAATAAGGTTTAAGTCATAAAATTTGAAAAAGCTATATGTAGGGAATAAGAACATATTGTTCTTTAATCAATATATGCTACTGCTAAAAAAATAGCTAACAAGTCAAAATTTAAAATTATATATACGTTAAGAAAAGACATTCTTTGCCATTTACAAAACACTTTTTCCATAGGCAGGCAATTTACTCAACTTAGGCTTGGCCACTACTAAAGCTGGAAATGGTGGCCACTTCATTGTGGAAGGTGGGCCACCATTACCTCCTACAATGGAACAGACAATTACAGACATGCCTTCACTGAGATTCAAACCCGAGACCTTCGGTACCGCAGTAAGCTCTCTTAACCACTCTACTGTCTGGACAGCATGCCATTTAATATAGCCACACCAAATTAGGCCTAGATATTCATCAATAACCTATGAAAAGTACTGTGGAGGGAGGGTCACTGCTCCCATCATCCCTAAAGCCAAGAAATGGCCAAAAAAGTGTATGAGAAGTCTTACTGTAATTGTTTATGAATTTTTAAAAATTACATACATTAAAAAAAATTGACATTTTAAAAAATATCATACATTTCTTATTTAGTGAGGCTAATATCAAAGATGAGCTATAAAAATAGCATTTTAATAATGCTATCATTTATACTAGTAGTTCCCACAGTTCTGCACTGTAATGATTTGGGTCATTTATTTGCAATTTGCAATCACTTAGTTGCAAAATATTCCATTACTTTCACAGAAATGATACCTGGTCTATACAGTTTAAAATTAGATCACTGATGTGTTAGTGCTATAATAATATCTAACAGATATTAAAATTGATTTGAAAATTATTTTTAAGAAGATAAAGCCAGCAACTTCACATGGATTTTAAAGCACGTTTATAGCTAAGCACCACCTGAATTTACTTCTATACAAGGGAATCTTTATTCAGTTCTCTTGCAGCAATATACTGAAAACTAGATCCATCAACAGGGAATTAAAGCTATTTTTAGATGTCATTAAAAGATAAATAGTCTAACAAATTGGGTAAAGAAAAGATCAAAGCAGGTTTTTGATGGGCACTGTAATAAAAAGCAAGTGTCAAGACAGGCATTGATGTGAAACAAGAAATGAAGTGAGTATGTCCGGTTTAGTATCAAGATCTTGTATGGTTTTTTTTTTTCATTTTGCTAATAGTTATTTTTATTTTGGAACACGCTTTTCTTTTAGCTTCTAATTTTCTACCTACGTTTCCCTGCCAGGATGAGTTTTCAGTGTTACGATTTATGCAAATAAGGTAGAAATGAGTATTTAAGCTGAGGTCTGAGTTACTTCAGTAGGAAACCACGTTCTGCCTTTCGGACATGTTGTTGCTATAGTTAAAGCTCGCTATTCTGTGGCAGTACTTAATATATGCCTGCTAGTATACAGTGATAGTTCTTAATTAAGGGCCAATGCTGTGAGTTTGATTCTATGCAGCTTTAGCTGATTAATTTTATTTAGCATTAGATTAGTTTTATATTTTCTATTTTGAGTTAAAGCTCAAGTGAAGGCTTCTTGTGTGCCCAATAGAGGCCAAACATAAATATTATAATTCTGAGTTAGACTAAAAGTGTGTTTTAACTCTTCTACGGAGCTGTTACTTACATACAAGGAATCGGCGAATAGTTGCTATTTAGTTCTTCAGTATTTTAGCTTTCAAGGAACTCTATTTTAGCTAGGATATTACAATCTAAAAAAGTATCCAATGAAAAAAAAGGCTCACCTTTTTTTTTTTTTTTTTTTTTTACATGATTGCTCAAAATATGAGCTTACTTAGCAGACTTTATAATAAACTGTTTCTGAACTTCAAATATGTATTCAATTTAGAATAGCAGAGAATCATGCCAATGTGACAATTAAAATCGCAATAACAACCTTGTATTTAGCATACATATGTTAAAACACTCAATCGATTTCGAGGGCAGTTAAAGATCCCGCCTCATCAGGAGAACAAAATTACTAGAAAGGGGAAAAAGAAGAAAAATAAAGCATTAGCAAAGGAGTCTCAGAAACATGTGATCGTTATCAGTACACGCGTGGTCGTAACCGGATTTTGAATCAGATTTACACTGGCCGCCTACTTTTACTGAGCCAGGCTATCTGATCAAACAAAACCAACATGTTTGTCAAAAAGAAAAAAAAAAAAAAAGCATCAAACAAACATATTTGATCAGATAGCCTGGACTCAGTAAAAGTAGGCGGTCAGTGTAAATCTGATTCAAAATGCGGTTACGACCACGTGTGTACTGATAACGACCACATGTTTCTGAGACTCCTTTGCCAATGCTTTATTTTTCTTCTTTTTTCGCTTTCTAGTAATTTCATTCTTCTCATGAGGAGGGACCTTTAGCTGCTCTCGAAATCGATTGAGTGTTTTAACATATGTACGCTAAATACAAGGTTGTTATTGCAATTTTAAATGTATTCAATTTATTTTGTAATTTAGCCATTCTAACCGTATCAACTAGTGTCAATTTTAAGTAGGCTTATTAAGTATGCGTGCTTGAGAAAAATTTTAATACATCATAGATGCCACAAACTGAAAATATTAGGGAACCACAAGGTAATAAAATATGAAATGCATATTTTAAAATTAAGCTCTGATTTAACTGCAGTTATTTATTTACTTTTTTAATAAATATTTTGAAAGAAATCTGGCAACAATTAAAAGACAAAAAACATTTAAAAATTACAAAACTGATGAATGGTTATTTTTTTAGAGGGTATATTTTACTTTTATTTTTGCAACAAAATCACTGCATGCTTCCAAATATTCATTTATAATCATAGTTTTCATAAAGGAATTCTCAAACAATATTTTCTAGAATAGGACACTGGCATATTCACTGTTGTTTTCAGTGTTATTCTGATTGTGACTCTGGGTCAATATAGTAAACACAATACTTTTTCAGTAAAGTGAAAGCTTGAACTAAATGACCCACAAACTAAAAAAAAAAAAAAAAATTGCAACTTATTTTTATGAAATTATCTTTCATACTATCCATTAGTTTCATTTTTATATGTTTTAAAAATGATTGTGGATTTTTATATCATTTTATATTTAGAATTTTAGCACAATCATTAAAAAGAAAGAGAGAATGCATACTTCAAGATATGGGCTTTCAAATAATTTTGGAGTTTCTAAACTTCGACCTGGCTCAGGAAAAAAAATTTGATTCATATATGACCTTTCTTCCCAAGATGCTTTTCGAAGTGTGCCATCTGTCTCCCTAACTGTTATCATTCGATCCTAGAAAAACACAAATACTAAATACAAAAGATTAAACAGCATCTTTAAGATTATTTTGTAGTATGTGGATCAAGGAGGTTAGAATAAATGAAGCTTCCTTCTTATGCCCCATGCAATGAGCATGAAGCCATGAAACATCACAGTATGATGTCACGACTTATCATGGCCAGTGCCTTTTCGTTTGTTTTGTTTATACTCTAATCAGTATTGTCTACTTATTAGTTTTCATCACTGAATATTTACAAGGTCTCCCATTCTAATTTTAACACTTAACATAAATGATTTCTACTCAGTTCATAGAAAGACTATAAGGACTCCAAATAACTGTTTCAAATTCAATAAAATCTAGGTACATGAAAATGTGTAAATAGTAGCGATATGAAATGGTAAAACCTAAAATACCAAACAGAAATTTCAACAGTATTTTATTCAGATTATACCTAAGGATACTTTTCTAAGCCTCCAAATGTTGATAATTGCTCTTAAAGTCAGTGTAATTTTATTTAATAACATGTTTCATAGTCTTATTTGTACACTGTATGGTGGCCATGATAAGTCATAATGTCATATTGTTGACATTTCCTTGGCTTTATTTTTGTGATGCCATACTTACTCCATCTTTCTAACCCCCTTGATTCGGATAGTATTGAATTTTTTTCCTATATGTATTTTCTATCAGATGAATATATAAGAAATAGTATTTATCAGATGAATATATAAGAAATAGTATATCTAGAAATTTTTTTTAACAATAAAACATAGAAGTTTATATATATATCTATAATAATCACTTTAAAAAGGGAAGAAAATTCATTTTGCAGAATTTAATATAAAAAAAGAATTCGGTAGGCATTAATATACTGCAGTAAAAGAATGGCTGTCAACCATGTAACTATATATATGTATATACACTGAAGAACCAAAAAATTATTGCCATTCCCACATTTTTCAATGAACTTGTCTGGATGATGAGGGCACGTGATTAAGTGAGAATTCTATTATATTAAAATCTGTGTGCATCTGTCTATTTGTTTCCAACATCATCTTCTCTTGAACCGCTCGCTTCTGGGCTTAATGAAACATACCGTTGGATTCCAAAAATTCCTGGTAAGCGATTTTGACCATTCCCATCTTTGTATTACTTTAATCAGCTGAGATATTAATTAAAAATGGTATTCCAAATGATAAATTCACTTCTTCTTTCACTTCTTTTGTTGGATTTTACCCTATTAAAGGGATTTGGCTACGCACCAATTTCTTTTTTCACGAATATGAATATAACGGCACTTAGTTGATTTTCAAGACACGTATCCCTTGATTTAAAAAATTCATCGAAATCCATTTATACCATTCTCATCTTCGTATGACTTTAAGCAGTTGAAATATTAATTAAAAACTCTGAAAATGCTAATTTGAATGAGACTCAATAGCCACTTTAGGGATTTTTTTCTTAGGTTTTCCCGTATGGCTTCATGTTTCAAAAGACTTAAGGATTTGGCACCGTCCCAATGTGTTAAAACCTATATATATATATAGATCGTTTTAGATGTTAAGGAATCGGAAGTTGTATTTTTTCAATGTTGTAAATATTTTTTATAAATTTTCCTTTTCTGGTCGACATGCAATTGCTGTCATTAATTTTTCTAAATTTTACTTATATTCTTTTTTAGGTATTTATGGAACTGATTTCATTCATATAAAAATGAAATTTAGACATAATAAATAAAGCGGGTTTGCCCACTCTGCTGGAGGGTTTGTCCGACTAGTGGTATTTAACTGCTACTGGAGAAGGTAAGGCATCATTCTTGCACTTACTTTTGTGAATGATGGGAAAGGCTGCTGATCTAAGTGAATTTGATACGGGACAAATTGTAATGGCCTGAAGACTCGGAATATATCTCTGAAACTGCATGACTGATAAGTTGTTCATGATCTGCCAGTATTAGTATTCATGAAAAGTGTATGAATGTTGGTGAAACCAGCAACAGACACCAAGGTGTTGAACATCCATATATCATCAAAGAAAAAAGACGACGGAGACTGTTCCGCTTGTCACAGCAAAATCGGCGCCAGACATAGGCTCAGCTGACAGCTCAATACAATGCAGGTCTAAGGCCAAGTGTTTCAGAATACACAGTTCAGCAGACACTGTTTGATACAGAACTGTGCCACTCATGTGCCTCTGTTGTCCAAGGGTGTTTGTCAATTATGCCTACAGTGGACCCGGGAAGATTGAGACTGGATCATGGATAAGTGGAAGACAGCTGCTTGATCAGATGACTCACGATTTCTCATTTATGATGTTGATGGTTGTGTAAGGGTACGTCATCTTCCAGGTGAACAGTTGCTTCCCCTATACACCTGGTCATAGACAAGCTAGTGGTGGTGGTATTATGCTTTGGGGGACATTCTCATGGGAGGCTCTGTGACCCTTAGCCGTGGTAGAACAGACCATAAAAGCTGCAGAATATCTGAATATAACTTGCAGATCAGTTGCACCCTTACATGGCATCTGTCTTCCCAATTGGAAATGGAATCTTCCAGCAAGACAACACCCTATCTCACAAGGCTCAAATTGTGTTATAGTGGTTCCATGAGCATAAGGATGAATTCCAATTAGTGTCCTGGCCACCAAATTTGCTGGATCTTAACCTGATGGAGCACATTTGAGATGCCATGGAGCTCAATCACCACTATGTCAGAATATCTCAACTTTGCATGACTACTGCTTAGACATTCGGTACAAACTGTCTCCAGTCATGTACGGAAATCTTGTGGCTTCCATGTCAAGGCAAGATGCAGCAGTTTTGCAGATCAGAAGTTGCACACCTCATTACTGAGTAGGTGGTCATTATGTTTAGGCTCTTCGGAATGTGTGTGTATATATATAAATGATATATATATATGAGACAAATAAGTAATAAATAATGCAAAAATAAAATAAAAGCAATTTACCACTGGTAAATTTTAAAATTAATAAAATAATTAAAAATATGTATACTAGCATATATATGAATAATTTGCTCAATTAAGGTTGGTTGGCTGGTTGGGAGTTTTTGGCACAAAACCCATGGGGCTTATCAGGGTTTATACACATTTCTGCACATGGAAATTAAGTATCTTTAAGGACCATTAATGAAAAAAATTAAGTGAGCAAATGGGAATTGAATAAATTCAATTAAAAATATTATATCTATGCCCGAATTTCACTTTTTAATGCCGTCCTAAAAATAAAAGAGATCCGTAAGTAGGACACATTATTATTAAACATAGCTTAATTAACATAATTATTAATATGTTTGAGAACAAAATAAATATTATGAAATTTACCAAGTAGCATTAAATATTTTACACTTATAATAACTGGACATATTTGAAAGAAGAGAAGTGACATTTTAGTTATGTTTTACTAACAGTTAGCTTTTTTATTCTTAATGTCTCATTTTGTCACATACTTGTTCAGTCTAGAGGTTTAGTAAATAGCAAGTAGATTTTATGTCAAGCAGCATAGGTTAAAATGAGCATTAAAATCATAATCAGCATGATTCATAGCAAAAGATTGGCTGTTGTCACTGTTCCTACTTGCCTAGAGAGAGACCTGCTGATCAGAACAAGCCTGAAAGGCCTGATGTAGGCACAGTTAGTAAGTTTTGAAAGTTACCTGAGCTCTGTCTGACACAGTTAGTGTCATAGCTTCGTGTAGAGTTCCAGGGGTTGTAACTCAGTTAATATACTTTAAGGTTCTATTAAGCCACTAAAGCACTAGAGGTGATAAGTTGTTTTGCATTATTTTAAGTTTCACTTGATGCGAATAATAAGTTTTACATGAATTTTTATATTTTTGTGTTTTACCTTGTGACCACTATAAAGGTTAATGAAAGGCAATATGTTGCTTTAATATGCAAATATAATTTTTAAGGGTTTAAGGGCACTTAGTTATAAGTAATTAAATTAGGTATTAGATAACCTTAGTTATATGGATTTACATGGACACTATCAAATTAAATTAATTTTTTTAATAATATTTGTTAAAAAAAACCCTATTAATATCACAATCTAATAAAATTTCACAGTTTAAAATACATGCAATTAATGACATTGATTTTTAAACAATATTAGGATAATTACAAATTAAACATTTATGTTTTGTAGCAACGAAACAAAATAATTATGCATCTTTTTAATTTGAAGGCCTGCCCAGACATTTTGGCTAAATTTATATCAACTTCCTTCTCCTTAAGCATCTTTTCTAACAATTAGAAATTTGTGTCAATATGCAAAACAATGTTCTCAATAATTTCTGCCTTTTTTATCTCCTAACTGCCAACCTTTCCACAACACCTATGAGGGTATACTTGATCATAAAACAAATTATGGCTATGTCTGAAAGTAACTATAAATCAGAGGTTTAAATAAGCTTCTTATTTAAAAAGAACTTAGAACATAAAAGCATGTTCTTATGCTAACAAAATCAATTACAGCTCGTGGTGATGTACTTAAACAAGAAGAGTCAATTCAAACTAAAAATATGGACTAGTGGTCAATTTAATTTCAATTTAATCTGGTTCAATAACTCTATCGTCATAATAAACTCAAATATCAGCAGCGGTAATGGAAATTATCACAGCTGATAGAAACTAATAAGGGAGCAAGTGGAGGTCAGAAACACATTCTTTGTCTTGCACTCCAAAAACCTCAGTTTAAAAACTGTCTCAGTGATTTGCATTCTGGTGATGAAATACAAATGGGAAATTAAAGGCTGAAATTGTTAACTGGGTAATTTACATAATAATAACTACACATCTCTGAAGAATAATTTTCTTTCTCTTTACATATTTAGTTCGTTTCTTTAACACATTTCCTTTTCACTTTAGAATTTTTGGATTTAATTAAAGATTTCTGTTATTCTAAAAGACAAAAAGCATTTAGAATGCATGAAGAAAAAGCTGCTAATTTTATTTCTTTAGTAATATGAACATTCAGAAAAAATATGAAGTACA